CCAAGGCAAGAGCTTACCCTGAAGAAAACACAGAATTAAGAGTGAGACACTGAAGGGCTATGACATCTTAATGCCGCTTTAAAACTACCGTATTATGTTCTTTACCTTTCTAGCTACAGCATATAAAACAAGATAAATATTCCTAGAATTCAGGAAGATGCATTAATACCCCTGAGCTCCAAAAGCTTTAGAGCCACCAAGAATTAGTACATAAACAAAAAGCTAAGCCAACTGATTTATTATGACAACATGAAGTTAGCAGAATTAATTGGAGAAGTCAAAGTTTATATTCTATACAAAGCACTCTATAGACGAAGTGTTAATAGGACTTCCTACTTAAACATTACCAAAGTCCTAAACTAATTCTATGAAACTAATTAGCTCTGCAGCAATGATTTTAAATGATATAACAACTCACAATTTGAGATGTCATCTTGCACCTGGAATAATAAACTAGCTTAATTCTCTTCATTACTTTAGTCTGCTTCTTTCATTTGGTTTTTTCAATAATTCTGAGATTCAGGTTACATGACATAAGTTCTCCTGGCCTTCTCAGAACTTTTGTCTTTAAGAATAAAACTATTTAAAGATCAAGCCTTCACAGCAGCTCTCCACCAAAAGGAGAAAAAATTTTCGAATGCAAAGGGAGGCTGGGGCCAGAGCCTAATAGAATATCTTTGCCATACTCCTGAAAGACAGGGACGAAGGACATCCGATTGTAGGAATACATTGCAACAGCAAGCAACCTTACCAGTTTCTATTTAATCATCAATTACATTGTTTCTTTGCAGAAGTCTCAACTTCTGTGATCATATGATTATGTGAATCTCTCAGATTTCATCTAAAATAAAACACTTTCTAGGCTACTTGATCATCACATAAAAAAGTTAAAAAGCCCGATCCAAGACTACAAGTTTCAAAACCAGCCGCCTCCACCCAATTTATTAAAAGAAAGCTGGTGAATTTTAAGTCTATGTCATGAAATTTCAACAGTTGAGTTTAATACAGCAAGAGCTGGTCTTTGAAATTCCTACCACAGCACCAAAAACAGTTGTAGTGGAAAAGATAGGGAACAACCTTATCTTTCCTTTTATTCTGCCTATTCATGAATCAAAGCCTCAACGAAAGTTTAGGGACTGGGTCACACTAACAAATTATCCAGGTTCTGTCAGACTCCTTCCCAGTCAAAGTTTCTGGCTTTATTTAATTATAGATTTACACATACAGCTGGACTATCAGTAAAATGGGAATGTGAACACAAAACCTTTTGCAGAGTGGTTTGAAATTTATTGATGAAAAATCGTCTTCAGAAGGGTATGTATTATTTTCACCATTTGTATTTTGGAAACAGTCTACATTCATGCTATTGTTTTGTTACTAAACTTTTACAGAATTCCCATTTTCCTTATCAGTCAAACAAAAATGTTGTATACATCAGATTGAATAATTAATTTAGAGGTAAACCAATTAATGAAGGATTATTTGTGATTTTTGTCTTTAGCTAAACTATGATGCTGCTTTGTTTCAACAATGCCCTGGGAAATTCAGTATGATTTTG